CACGATTAATTTGAGTAAAAACAGGTTACTTCAATCCTTTCAATGAGGCTCAAGCCGTATTGCGGCAGGGCAGGGCTCAGAGGCTCCTGCCGACGGACGACTTGGCTCACAGTCCCGGTGGGTTCGGGTAGCGCAACTTCTCGTCGTCTCCAGCCGGTGTCTGGGGCATTGTGTGAGTGAACATTGAATCTCGCCTGCTTCCGAGGGCGAGTTCGGCTGGCCCCAGATTCTTGCACCTCCCCCCCCCTTGGCACGGGGTCGGGGCAAAGTCTGGCCACCGACCCTCCAGTCGCCGCTGCAACCAGCTTTCAGAGCGATATCGCCCATCCAATCACCAACTTGCTTCCGCCCTCGGCAGATGGGACAGCATCCCAGCCAGTCGTAAAGCAGGCCGCAGTTCGCTTCAAAATCGGGGTCTTTTTTAGCTGCTGCTTACGTAGCATGTGCAAAATGCATGTGCACTTACGCGAAGGCGAAAGGGTAGCAGTTCTTGTTGCACGCCCGATGCAAGTGTGCTAATCCGGCTGAGAAAATGTTAAATTGGCTAAATTAAGTGAATGAGCTGTTGGGACTAGAGTGAGTAGGTCGAAGCTGGAGAGAGAGAGAGAGAGTGTGTGTGTATGTATGTGTATATATGTATGTATGTATGTATGTATTTATGTATGTATGTATGGATGTATGTATGGATGGATGTATGGATGGATGGATGTATGTGTGTGTGTGTGTGTATTTGAAGGGAAGAGGGATAAAATTAGCTAATTATGCTGAAAGAGAGCGCATTACCTAAAAAAGACGTAACTGACTGCAATTAATTCGGCCAAATTTGGCTAGTTTCAATTGGCCGTCAGAGCCTTTGTTGTGCAGGTTGCAACCAAACTGACTGTCAATCAGTCACTTTTTGGCTAAATCTGTGAACAGGAAAGACGAATGAGTGGGTGTTGGAGAGTAACTGGGAGGGGGAGGGGGCAGTCGGTGGGATCCATATTCATGGCATGTCCACAAAGTGTCATCCTCCTCGAATGGATGGGCAAATCGAGTATCAGCTCGCTTTGGTCCGGGCCAGAATAGAGGTTGGCTGCGATAATCTCGACGACTGGCCATCTCCGGTTCCTGCCACCAGACAAGGTACCGCTTTGGCTTCTTTGGCGTGTGTCGGCGATCGAAAAGACATTCTGGCATTCATGCAACCAGTGGCATGTTGTCTCGTGGACGCAGGCGACGAAGGCGCATCCATGAAGGTCTGCTGGAGGGGGTAGAGCCGCCGCGAAAACTAGCGAAAACAGGCCTTAGACGGCTTGAC